CTGGGTTTGTGATGACAGGGAGAACTGCATGGTGACTTGCTTGCCTGGTGCGAAGATTGCAGATCTCTCGAGGTCTCTAGATGGACTTATGTGTAGTGCTGGGGAGGAGCCGGTGGTCGTGGTACATGTAGGTACCAATGACATAGGGAAGGGTAGCAGAGACGTCCTGGAGGCCAAATTTAGCCTGCTAGGAAAGAGACTGAAATCCAGGACCTCTATGATGGCATTCTCAGAAATGCTTCCAGTTCCACGCGTAGGGCCAGGTAGGCAGGCAGAGCTTCAGAGTCTCAATGCGTAGATGAGATGATGGGATAGGGAGGAGGGGACTAGCTTTATAAGGAACTGGGGAAACTTTTGGGATAGGGGGAGCCTATACAGGAAGGATGGGCCCCACCTAAACCATAGTGGATCCAGACTGCTGGAAACTTAATATTAAAAAGGTGGCAGAGCAGTTTTTAAACTAAGAGATGGGGGAAAACTGATTGGTGCAGAAGAGCACATGGAACGGACGGAGACATCTCTTAGAGGAGAGTCTATTGATAGAGATTCTCTAGATTTTAGTCAGGAAGAGAGGATGGAAGAGGATAAAGTATGGGCCAGATCAGACAAAACATTCACATAAAAGAGAATCTGACATATCAGAAAAGAGCAAACAAATAAAAAATGACAAGTTTTTAAAGTGATTGTACACAAATGCTAGAAGTCTAAAAAATAAGATGGGTGAACTAGAGTGTCTTGTGTTAAAGGAGGATACTGATATAATAGGCATCGCAGAAACCTGGTGGAGTGAGGACAATCGATGGGACACAATGATTCCGGGGTACAAAATATATCGGAAGGACAGAACAGGTCATGCTGGTGGCGGAGTGGCACTATATGTGAAAGAAAATTTAGAGTCAAATGAAGTAAAAATCTTTAATGAGTCGCTATGGATAGTAATTCCCTGCTCTAATAAGAATATAACAGTAGGAATCTATTACTGACCACCTGACCAGGACAGTAAGAGTGACTATAAAATGCTAAGGGAGATTAGAGAGGCTATCAAAATAAAGAACTCAATAATAGTGGGAGATTTCAACTATCCCCATATTGACTGGGTATGTCACCTCAGGAGGAGATAGAGACAAAATTTCTTGATACCTTAAACAACTGCATCTTGGAGCAGCTGGTACAGGAATCCACAAAGGGAGAGGCAATTCTCGATTTAGTCCTGAGTGGTGCGCAGGATCTGGTCCAAGAGGTGACTATAACAGGACCGCTTGGAAATAGTGACCATAATATAATGACGTTTAACATTCCTGTGCTGGGAAGAACATCTCAGAAGCCCAACACTCTGGCATTTAATTTCAAAAAAGGGAACTATGCAAGAATGAGGTTAGTTAAACAGAAATTAAAAGATACAGTGACTGAAGTAAATTCCCTGAAGCTGCCTGGACACTTTTCAAAGATAACATAATAGAGGCCCAACTGAAATGTATACCCCAAATTAAAAAACATAGTAGAAGAACTAAAAAAGCGCCACCATCGCTTGACAACCATGTAAACGAAGCAGTGAGAGATAAAAAGACATCTTTTAAAAAATGGAAGTCAAATCCTAGTGAGGTAAATAGAAAGGAGCATAAACACTGCCAAATTAAGTGTAAAAATGTAATAAGAACAGCCAAAAAGGAGTTTGAAGAACAGCTAGCCAAAAACTCTAAAGGTAATAACAAAATGTTTTTTAAGTACATCAGAAGCAGGAAGGCTGCTAAACAGCCAGTGAGACCCCTGGATGATCGAGATACAAAAGGAGCACTTAAAGATGATAAAGTTATTGCAGAGAAACTACATGAATTCTTTGCTGCAGTCTTCATGGCTGAGGATGTTAGGGAGATTCCCAAACCTGACAAATCTGAGGACTTGTCACAGATTGAAGTGTAATTACAGGAAGTTTTGGAATTAATTGATAAACTTAATAGTAACAAGTCACCGGGACCAGATGGCATTCACCCAAGAGTTCTGAAATTGCAGAACTATTAACTGGGGTTTGTAACCTATCCTTTAAATCAGCTTTGGTACCCAATGACTGGAAGATAGCTAAGGTAACGCCAATATTTAAAAAGGGCTCTAGAGGAAATCCCAGCAACTACAGACCAGTAAGTCTAACGTCAGTACCGGGCAAATTAGTTGAAACAATAGTAAAGAATAAAATTCAGACACGTAGAAGAACATAATTTGTTGGGCAAAAGTCAACATGGTTTCTGTAAAGGGAAATCATGTCTTACTAATCTAGCATAGTTCTTTGAAGGGGTAAACAAACATGTGGACAAGAGGGATCCAGTAGATATAGTGTACTTAGAGTTCCACAAAGCCTTTTGACAAAGGGACAAATATGTAAATTAAGTTGTCATGGGATAAGAGGGAAGATCCTTTCATGGACTGCAAACTGGTTAAAAGACAGAAAACAAATGGTAGGAACAAATAGTAAATTTTCAGAATGGAGAGGGGTAACTAGTGGGGTTCCCCAAGGGTCAGTCTTTGGACCAATCTTATTCAATTTATTCCTAAAGGATCTGGAGAAAGGGGTAAACAGTGAGGTGGCAACATTTGCCGACAATACTAAACTGCTCAAAGTAGTTAAGACTAAAGTGGACTGTGGAGAACTTCAAAAAGATCTCACCAAACTGAGTGATTGGGCACAAAATGGCAAATGAAATTCAATGTGGATAAATGTAAAGTAATGCACACTGGAAAAAATAACCCCAACTATATATATAATATTATGGGGGCTAATTTAGCTTCAACTAATCAGGAAATAGATCTTGGAGTCATCATGGATAGTTCTCTGAAGACGTCCACGCCGTGTGCAGCAGCAATCAAAAAAGCAAACAGGATGTTAGGAATCATTAAAAAAGGGATAGAGGGTAAGACGGAGAATATCTTATTGCCCTTATATAAATCCATGGTACACCCGCATCTGGAATACTACATACAGATGTGGTCTCATCATCTCAAAAAAGATATACTGGCATTAGAAAAGGTTCAGAGAAGGGCAACTAAAAAGATTAGGGATTTGGAACGGGAGATTAAAGAGACTGGGACTTTTCAGCTTGGAAAAGAGAAGACTAATGGGGGATTTGATAGAGGTCTTTAAAATCATGAATGGTGTGGAGAAAGTGAATAAGGAAAAGTTGTTTTCTTGTACCCATAATATAAGAACTAGGGGACACCAAATGAAATTAATGGGCAGCAGGTTTAAAACAAATAAAAGGAACTCCTTGCCTGAGGAGGTTGTGAAGGCTAAGACTATAACAGGGTGTAAAAGAGAACTAGATAAATTCATAGAGGTTAAGTCCATTAATGGCTATTAGCCAGTATGTGTAAGGAATGGTGTCCCTAGCCTGTTTGTCAGAGGGTGAAGATGGATGGCAGGAGAGAGATCGCTTGATCATTACCTGTTTGATTCACTCCCTCTAGGACACCTGGCATTGGCCACTATTGGCAGACAGGATACTGGGCTAAATGGATCTTTGGTCTGACTCAGTATGGTAATTCTTATGTTCAGATGACTGGAGTATCTGGACTTTTAATACTCCAGGTATCTGAAGAAGTGGGTTGTACCCATGACAGCTCATGATACCATCTACATGGGGTTTTTTTGGTCTATAAAGTGCTGCTAGGCTATTACAAGTAATATATGTGCATTTTATGAAGTAACTGCAACAATAATACATGTGTGTTGGGAGGGGAGTGTGAAAGAGACGTGTGTGTGCTTGTTTGTGTATGTGTGTGACAGAGACGGTGTGTGTGCTGGTTGCTGGGGATGTTTGAGAGATGTCTGTGCTGTCTGTTTAGGACACCCACAAAAAAACCCTGGGCTGCTCTGTTCCTGCATCCTTTTGTCTCCCCTCCCGCAGTATGTATCAAAGTGTGAGAGCCCAGGGAATTAATATTTCATATACTGATCCCAATGCCTGTAACTGTTCCAGATACAGGCTACAGGCTGAAAAAAGAGACCCTGGGGACAACTAGTCAGATATTAATCCAAGAACAGAGGAGCTGCTAGATTTATTTATTTATGTATTTATTTATTTATTTATTTAGTGATAAGTGACTGAATGAAGATTAGGAAGCTGCAAACTTTCTAGATTCTAAAGAAATCCACATGACAGATGCTACATTTTAAGTCTCCCTTTAATCTAATAAACTATTTCTGAAAGAGCAGAGGGGAAAGAATGGATTGTCATGTGTGTACCACAGCACAGATGTGTAAACGTTAAGCCAAAACTGTTCATTTTAATGCACATATTACAAACCAGACTTTCCTGTCATGTGAATATCAAAAGCCAGCTGTTGGAATTTCTGCAGGAAGGGGCAGTGGTAACTTTACTGCTTCACAACATTTTCTTTAGAAAGTGTTTCAGAAGTTCTCTTCATTCTGTTGCCATGAGTTTGCACTGCTCTTTGTTTTAGTTGTATGATATGGTCTCCTGGTAAATGACCAGAAGCTAACATTTACACTCAGAGTCATGCATTTCCATCACTCTTCAATACTTGTGCAAAACTTTCCAGAAAGTCCTAAGCGAACAGAATCACTGCTCTGTGTTTCAGCAAGGGGCGGAGATGAGGTGCAGGACAGCGTGTGTGTGAAAGTGGTTGCATGTAATTTACACACATCACTTCTCCCACACCATGGTTGAAGGAACATCCACACTCAAATGGATATCATGCAAATGTCATGTTTGCACTATTCATCCGTTTGTCATGCCAGCCCCTCCCCTGACCAGCTGATGGAACTGTCAGTGTTGTCTAATAAATTGCCAACTAACTGGACACCCTTACATGGAGAGAGATGCAGCTCCTGTGAAGATTCTGAGAATCCAATTGGTAGCTTTAAACCATCTTGTTAGTCTTTAAAGTGCTACATAGTTTTTCCTTTTGTTTTAAATATCACATAGCCTTCTGTTCTTTTCCCTTTCAGGAAGGAAAACTCATATCTCCTGGGACCTTCCCAGTACATGATGTCAGCTGCCAATGACACGAAACTCAGCTCTGCATTGCTCCTTCTCACTGGGATACCTGGGCAGGAACATGTCTATCTCTGGATCTCTATTCTCTTCTGCTTCATGTATGCAATCTCAATGGTAGGCAATTCAGTCATTCTCTTCATTATAAAAAAGGATCCAAGCCTCCATGAGCCCATGTACATTTTCCTTTCCATGTTGGCCCTCACAGACCTTGGCTTATCTATAGCCACCATACCGACGATACTGGGTATATTTTTGTTTAACTCTAGGGAGATCACCTTCAATGCCTGTTTTGCCCAGTTGTTCTTCATCCACACACTTTCATTCATTGAATCTGCTGTGCTCTTGCTGATGGCCTTTGACCGCTTCGTTGCGATCCGTGACCCACTGAGATATGCTTCCATCTTAACTCCGCCGAGAATAGCCAAAATGGGACTGGTGTTTCTGCTAAGAGGAGTGGCCCTAATATTCCCGCTACCCTTTCTCCTGAAACGGTTCCAATACTGTCGTGTCAACACCCTCTCCCACTCCTACTGCCTGCACCAGGAGGTCATGAAGTTGGCTTGTTCAGACATCACCGTCAATAGCATCTATGGCTTGTTCACTATAGTCTGTACAATAGGGTTAGATTTACTGTTCATCTTCCTCTCTTACGTGATGATCCTCAAAACAGTGCTGAGCATCGCATCCCACACAGAGCGCCTCAGGGCCCTGAACACCTGCGTCTCCCACCTCTGCGCCGTCCTGATCTTTTATGTGTCATTGATCAGCCTGGCTCTGATACACCGATTTGGGAATCGCTCTACTCACTTCCTTCAGATTCTCCTGGGCTATGTCTATATGATGGTTCCTCCCCTAATTAACCCTATTGTGTACAGCGTGAAAAGCAAACACCTCCGTGCGAGGATCATCATGGCGTTTGTCAAGTGAAGAGTCCTTTCACCGTAGGGTTCCAGCACTGGTAACATGGGAGAAGAAAAATTATGAGTGGTGGCAGTGGTGACTTATTCTATCAGGGATCCTGTTCCTCTGAGGATCCTACCTCTATCCCATCTCTCCCCTAAGGCTGGCCTATGGTAAGAGTTGGTCAGGGAACAAGGCCACTGGGAGGAACTCCAGACATCCCCATGTTTTACTTCCCATGGCAAACAACGCAGAGAAGTGGAGAGTTTGGGGCTCCCCTTAGCAGCTGCTGCTCCTGGGGCATCTCTTTCCATGGTCCACCTCAGGCTTGGCTAGGAGTTGGAGCCTTAGGGGAAGTGGGGAAACAGGGGTTTGGCAAATCTGAATCCCTGTGGACTCCAGCAAACAGGGCGGGGAGGTTCCTGTGTCCAGGACAAAGATGGTGCCAGAAGGTAGGAGAGCAAGTGCTTCAGAGAAGACTTATTGTGATCCCACAAAGGGGGCTCTGGTTTTTAGTATCCTCAGAGTGTGAGTAAGTCAGTACAAGGACTTTCCAGGAAGGAAAGAGGGTCTGTGAGCCTTTTCATAGGCGGATAATAGCCCTGCCCCATCTCACAACGGTGGCTGGAGGAAAATACATCCCAAGTGCTCAGATATTCTAAGACTCTAAGATCAGGGCTTCTCAGAACAACGCCTTTGGCATTCATCTATAAAAGCCTTCTTACCACAGCCTCCTGTGGCATTTGGGAAGTCCCATGCCTTCAGCAGCTCAGAGTGTGTGGCCAATATGGGGGTGCTCAGGGTGAAGGTGAGGGGCAGGTTGTTGGTTTCTCAGGGGAGTTTCAGCACAGACTGGGGTTTCACCAGACTGGGGTTTGCGAGCAGAATGTATCTAACCACCAAACGAGGGAGCAACAGACACAGGGGCTTCATCTTAGGTCATCTGGCTGGGGGTAAACAGTCTGGGGGCAAAGGTCAGCTTCACACCTCCACCCTGTAACCCAGACCTGGATGAGCACGATGGGGACTGGGCCCAGATGCACACAGATTTCAGCAATTGCTGCTGCCAGAAGAACGGGGGAGATGGGAAGATGCTCTCATAGGCACGGAAATATGGCTGGGGCCCAAGAGCTCCTGGCTTCCCAAAAGGATGTAAGTTGGGCCACTTTTGTTCCTGTATCTCCAGAGCTACGCCGCTCTGACTTGCTGTGATAGATGATCAGTTTCTAAAAAAAAACTTCTCTAGAGCTTTGAAAACAATTCTCTAGAGCTTTGTGTTGTTTCTTATTAAATTTACTAGTTGTAAGGTGCCTGGGGCTGGCTGACTAGCTCTGGCCACAAGCACCTCAAGGGAAGAGACTTTGGTGCCCACTTGGAGCTGTTTGGTGGTATGCATTTGGCCACGATAGGGTGCTGTTTCCAGCTTGGAGAGAGGACCAATTAAGAACATAAGGAATTAAGAATGGCCATACTAGGTCAGAACAAAGGTTCATCTAGCTCAGTATCTTGTCTTCCAACAGTGGCCAATGCCAGGTGTCCCAGGGGGAATGAACAAACCGTGTCTGATCGATTTCCTTTCTCTCATTCCCAGATTCTCACAAGCAAAGGTGAGGCACACCATCCCTGAGTGGATGGACATATTTTCCATAATTATTATTTTTTTTAAATAATGGAGGTTGCCTATCTCCTAGAACTGGAAGGGACCTTGCAAGGTCATCCAGTCCAGTCCCCTGCCTTCACAGCAGGACCAAGTACCATCCCTGATGAATTTTTGCCCCAGATGGCCTCTGCAACAATTGAACTCACAACCCTGGATTTAGCAGGCCAATACGCAAACCACTGAGCTATCCCTCCCCCCATGAATGTACTTAGTTCCTTTTTTAAAATTCTTTTATATTCTTGGTCTTTGGAACATCCTCTCCCGCCCAGCTCCTTTTCTGCATTACAAACCCAGGGTGCAGGCAACGGATGGGAGAGTCCACCAGGCCCTGTGTGGGGAAATTTCCCTCACATGGTTCCTACATGTTAATTATCTTTCCTTAAAAGGGGGATCCAGCATGCAGGGATCCTCTAAGTTAGGTAGACATCTCAGTGAACCTCACCCAGCTAGGCCCACCCACAATCTCTGGGCCTCCACAGCTGCCCTGGGACCCTCTCCAGCTCCCTGCTAGCACAAGTTCATCTGGAACGTGCCACCAGAGCCCCCCTCAGTAGCCACTACTGTGGGACCTAGCGAAGGGGCATTTTACAGTCTGGACAGGGTTGCACAGGGATGGGAATGCCCAGCACAGAGGGGCACAGCGTCTCTGTTACTGATGGACACATGTCTAATGCTTCAGGGGGTAGCCAAGTTAGTCTGTATAGGATAAACTAAAAACAACAACAAATGGTCTGGTGGCACTTTAATGGTGAGGGTTCTTTACCACTGGAACTAACTCCCCAGAGAAGTAATGGATTCTCCTGATACCTCCGATCCAAGACCAGATGCCTTCCTGGAAGATGCAATTTACTGTTTTAAAATGTTCTCTTGCATGTTGAATTTTTAATTGATTACAATTTTTTTTTTGTAACTTACAAATAAATTTGGTTTTTTTAAATAAGCAATATTTGTATTTGCTGCTTTTTATTTTATTTTATTTTATTTTATTTTATTTTATTTTATTAATACATGTAATGCTGCGTGCGGCATTAAAAATTAAAAAATTACCCTGAATGTAACTGGACTCACATTTCCCTGGTACTTCTAATTTTCTCTTTGTTCAGCTCATGTCCATGCCCTGAATTCCATGGGATAGGGAGACATGGCAGTCTTGCCTGGGTTTAAATCATTCTGTGGCTCTCAACTCCTGGTTTAACTTTCCCACACAAAGAAAGCAGGCAGGGAACCTATATCCAATTCAAATTTCAACCCTCTGTTTCAATTGGTTCTCCCAGCCTCCTGGCTGACACCTTTGCTAGGTATCTGAGTTAACCCCTTAGTCGCTGGGTGCTGGTCAGCACTCCCCCTGTTCATGACAAGGACAATTGACCTGTTTTATAGAAAAATACAGGACACCTGCAGGAAGGCATTATACAGGACTTTCTCCTTAAAAATGGGATTCCTCATCACCTTGCACTTCACAACATCTTGCCAGTAGAAACTACTGTGACAGGCCCTGGTAGCTCATCTCTGATCAGCCTGCGCTAGCAGGGAGCTGGAGAGGGTCTTACAGCAGGAGAGGAGGCCCAAAGATAGTGGGTGGCTGGGCCGAGATACCAGTGGATCCCTGAGATCTGTACCTAACTTTGGGGATCCTGAGATCCTGGGTCCTCCTTTTCATTCCTCATGGAGGAGGGAAGAGACCTCCCTTCCCACAATGATCTGAGGGAAATTTCCTCAATGGAGCCTTGTGGAATCTCCCTTCCCCGGGCTCCACCCTGAGTCTGTAACGAAGGAAAGGGGCTGCCAGAGAGAAATCTGGCCCCATATCATCATTATCATTATTTATTTTAATTCATTGAAATCGCAGCTGTGACCTAATCATTGTTACCGCTCAGCTGCTCCAACAAGCCCGGAATCCAGGAATGGAGCCTGCAGCAGGGCTCGTGCTGCCGGCCAGTTGTCTATCAGGGATGGTCTAGACAGTATTTGGTCCTGCCTTGAGGGCAGGGGACTGGACTCAATGACCTCTTGAGGTCCCTTCCAGTCGTAGTATTCTATGATTCTATGATCCCCTGTGGTTTGACCTCTGTCTGTTTGCTGTGATGGGGTTAAAGCTGGTGCACACAAAGTCAAGCAGCTGAGGTTCCCTGATGGCCAAGTGGCCCCAAGGGAAGGTACAAACATGCTGCATAAAGGCAGTTGCCTCCCTATGTGAACACACACTGCCTGCTGCCCGTGCAACCTCTCCGGTGACTCCTTGTGCTTCAGGGTGAAGACCTCTGGTGCCAGCAGCTCCCTTCTAGCAGGAACTGGGTACGTTGGTAGGTGTCACTGTTACATGCCAAGTGCAGGGCAAAGGCTGCAGGCTGTTTCATTGGCAGCTGTTCTGTGCAGTGGCAGAAGACTCAGCTCGGGTGTCGGGGAGACTCAGTGATAGGGCTGGAGGGCAGGCAGCGCTAGGTAGCTTGGGAACCCTCCCCTCCATCTGGCTTTGTCCTCAATGGGCTGTTCAAGCTACACAGAAAGCTGATATTCAAAGTGATCTTGGAGTCTGAGTCTGGATTTCTCCTGGGGACCCCCACAGACTGTTAGTGACTAGTTCATGAAATTGCAGATTTATTTGCTCCTGGAAATGTAATCAGCAAATGCATTTTCAAAGGCCAATTCTCTGGCTCGGTTGTGAAAGCGGCAATTCAGAGCTGCGTTGCTCTGTGTAACAGGTCCAACAGGCACATTTCTAGTTCCTGACTGGGCAAGGGCTCCAGCACACCTGCCCTGTAGATGCCCCTCAGAGGTACAGGGCTACCGGCATCTCTGCCCCCTCTCTGGTTTGCAAGGGCCATCTGTCAAGATCCATAGCCTGCCCTCTCATTGGGTGCAATCCTAGGATCCGCCTCCCGCCTCAGACCAGGGCCTGGATGACAACACACTGAGGGATAGTTGTGTTTGCCCAGGAGGTGAGATGAGTGACCAGCCAGGCTTCTTGAACCAACATATTGTTTTCTGTGAACAGCGGGAATGAAGTGCAACATGGGGGAATAAGAGGGGTTTCAAACAAGAGTCTGTCCATGTTTCTGATTCCAGACCCTCACTCTGACAGGGACACAGGCAGGCCGGGGGCCTTCAGCCTTCCCCAGCCTTGTCTGTGCCTGTCGGTCTGGAGAGCTTCTCAGCAACAGCTGCCCCACATCTGGACACACTCCCAGCGCTGGCAGAACAAGTTGAGTAACATGGCTGGAGCCCAGAAACAGGCTCTCCCCAGCTTGTAGCTCTAGAGCGGTGTCTCAGCCTCCCTGAGGTGCTCACGGAGCGACGGCTTTTCTTGAGCAGCTGTTTCCCTCCTTGTTTTTTTCCACCGCCCTGCTCTTCAACTAAGAAAGGTCAAACTGGTTTTAACCCAGTATCAACACCCCAGTCGTTAACCCAACACAGCCCTACAGCAAACATCCCAGGAAGTGGGTTTAACACAGACGTTCCTTTTGGCAGCTCATCTCCATGTCTGTCACTGTGCTGTGTAAGGACACAGTGTGAGTGTGTGTGTGTGTGTGTGTGTGTGTGTGTGTGTGTGTGTGTGTGTGTGTGTGACAGAGAGAGAGAGAGAACAACAGACTATTTTCATGTAGGAAATGAATTTCTAGTTCCATGAATACTCATCCATTTAAATTTGATCCAGTTCCTGGAAACCCTTATCATACCAGAAAAATATGTGTTGGGGTTACTATGTACTAGAGAGTGAGAGCTCAGGAAAACAATATTTCATATATAGTCCCCAGTACCTGTTATCACACCAGACATAGACTACAGGCTGACAACAGAACCTGAGGAGAATGAGTCAGCTATTATCCAGGGTCCGACCAAAGGTCCATCTAGCCCAGTATCCCGTCGGCCAACAGTGGCCAATACCAGATGCCCCAGAGGGAGGGAACATAACAGGTAACCCTCAAGTGATCCATCTCCTGTCATCCATTTTCAGACAAACAGAGGCTAGGGACACCAGTCCTACCCATACTGGCTAATAGCCATTGATGGACCTTCCCTCCATGAATTTATCTAGTTCTTTTTTGAACCCTGTTAAAGTCCTATTCTTCACAACATCCTCTCGCAAGGAGTTCCACAGCTTGACTACATGCTGCGTAAAGAAAAACTTCCTTTTGTGTGTTTTAAACCTCCTACCTATTTATTTCATTTGGTGACCTCTCGTGCTTGTATTATGGGAACAAGTCAATAACTTTTCCTTATGCACTTTCTCCACACCACTCATGATTTTACATACCTCAATCATATCCCCCCTTAGTTTCCTCCTTTCTAAGCTGAAGAGTCCAAGTCTTTTTAATCTCTCTTCATATAGGACCCATTCCAAACCTTTAATCATTTTTGTTGCACTTGTTTGAATGTTTTCCAATGCCAATATATCTTTTTTGAGATGAGGTGACCATATCTGTACGCAGTATTCAAGATGTGGATGTACCATGGTTTTATATCGAGTCAATAAGATATTTTCTGTATTATTCTCTATCCCTTTTTAAATTATTCCCAACATTCTATTTGCTTTTTTGACTGCTGCTGCACAATGGGTGGATGTTTTTAGAGAACTATCCACTGTGACTCCAAGATGGCTCTCTCGAGTAGTTGTAGCTAAATCAGTCCCCATCATATTATATGTGTAGTTGGGATTATTTTTTCTAATGTACATTACTTTATATTTGTCAACATTAAATTTCATTTGCCATTTTGCTGCCAAATCACTTAGGGTGGTGAAATCTTTTTGAAGCGTTTCACAGTCTGCTTTGACCTTAACTACTTTGAGCAGTTTAGTATCATTGGCAAACGTTGCCACCTCACTGTTTACCCCTTTCTCCAGATCATTTATGAATAAGTTGAATAGGATTGGTCCTAGAACTGACCCTTGGGGGACACCACTAGTTACCCCTCTCCATTCTGAAAATTTACCATTTATTCCTACCCTTTGTTTCCTTTCTTTTAACCAGTTAACAATCCATGAAAGGATCTTCTCTCTTATTCCATGACAACTTACTTTACTTAAGAGCCTTTGGTGAGGGTCTTTGTCAAAGGCTTTCTGGAAATCTAAGTACACTATAGGTACTGGATCCCCTTTGTCCACATGTTTATTGACCCCCCCCCAAAGAACTCTAGTAGATAAGTAAGACATGATTTCCCTTTACATAAACAATGTTGACTTTCCCCCAACAATTTATGTTCACCTCTGTGTCTGAAAATTGTATTCTTTACTATAGTTTCAAATATTTGTCCGGTATTGATGTTAGACTTACCGGTTTGCAATTGCCAGGATCTCTTCTTTTTAAATATTGTCATCACGTTAGCTATCTTCCAATCATTAGGTACAGAAGCTGATTTAAAGTATAGGTTACAAACCACAGGTAATAATTCTGCTATTTCACTTTTGACTCCTTTCAGGACTCTTGGGTAAATGCCATCTGGTCCTGGTGAGTTATTACTGTTCAGTTAATTCATTTGTTCTGAAATTTCCTCTAATGACACCTCAGTCTGGGACAATTCTTCAGATTTGTCACCTAAAAAGAATGGCTCAGATTTGGGAATCTCCTCAATATCCTCAGCTGTGAAGACTGAAGCAAAGAATTCATTTAGCTTCTATGCAAAGATTTTATCATCTTTGAGTGCTCCTTTAGCATCTCGATCGTCCGAAGGCCCCACTAACTGTTTCGCAGGCTTCCTATTTCTGATGTATTTAAAAAACATTTTACAATTACTTTTTGAGTTTTTGGCTACCTATTCTTCAAACTCCTTTTGGCTTTTCTTATTATATTTTTACACTTAATTTGACAGAGTTTCTATTTTCCTCTCTAGGATTTGACCTCTGCTTTTTAAAAGATGTCTTTTTATCTCTCACTGCTTCTGTTATTTGGTTGTTAACCCACACTTTTTTGGTAGAACTTTTTTAGTTTTCTTACTGATTTTTTTAAAATTTGGAGTATACATTTAATTTGGGCCTCTATTATGGTGTCTTTGAAAATTTCCATTCATCTTGCAGGGATTTTATTTTTGTCACTGTACCGTTTAATTTCTGTTTAACTAACCTCTTTGTTTTTGTGTAGCTTCCCTTTCTGAAATTCAATGCCTCAGTGTTGGGCTGCTGAAGTGTTTCTCTCACCACAAGGATGTTAAATTGTACTGCATTATGTTCATTATTTCCCAGTGGTCCAGTTATATTAACCTCTTGGACCAGATTCTGCACTCCACTTAGGACTAGAATTGACTCTTCCCTTGTAGGTGCCAGAGCCAGGTGCTCCAAGAAGCAGTCATTTAATGTATGAAGAAATTTTATCTCTGCATCCTGTCCTGATGTGAAGTGTATCTAGTCAATATGGGTATGTCTACACTACCACCCTAGTTCGAACTAGAGTGGTTAATGTTGGCAACTGGAGTTGCAAATGAAGCCCAGGATTTGAGTATCATATTTTCCTGGTTTACACAACAAAATATGTCTAACTAATAGATATAGGGGAAAGTCTTCCCTGGCAGAAGAATATTTCACAGCTGCTCATACAAGGACTTCTTCAGACTTCCTCTATGGCATTTGGACCAGTCCATTGGATGCAGGGGTAGATGGACCTGAGAGCACATAACTTCCTATCGGTGGTGTGAATCCAACTCTATATTTTTGCTGACCTTCCTTGAGCTCCTGGAAGACTCTAGAGTTGCACTGAGAATGGAAACAAATGTTTTGTGAAATATCACCTAGTTTCCTGTTCTGTTTCCTTTCAGGAAGGAAAATTCAAAACCCCTTGGACCTGCCCAGTACATCATGTCAGCTGCCAATGACACCACATTCACACATGCTGTGTTCCTTCTCACCGGGATACCTGGGCAGGAAGACATCTATCTCTGGATCGCTATTCCCTTCTGTTTAATTTACATTATTTCGATAGTAGGAAATTCAATCATTCTGTTCATTATAAAAGCAGATCCAGGCCTCCATGAGCCCATGTACATTTTCCTTTGCATGCTGGCCATCGCTGACCTTTGCTTATCGATAACCACCATGCCGACGATACTGGGCATATTTTTGTTTAACTCTAGAGAAATAAGCCTCAATGTCTGTTTTGCCCAGTTGTTCTTCATCCACTCGCTTTCTTTCATCGAATCCTCTGTGCTCTTATTGATGGCCTTTGATCGCTTTGTTGCAATCTGTAACCCACTGAGATATTCTTCCATCTTAACCTTGCCAAGAATAGCCAAAATGGGACTGGTGTTTTTGCTAAGAGGATTGGCTATCGTAGTGCCACTTCCTATTCTCCTGAAACGGTACCGGTACTGTCGAACCAATGAGCTCTCTCACTCCTACTGTCTGCACCAGGAGGTCATGAAGTTGGCATGTGCTGACATCATAGTGAACAGCGTCTATGGCTTGTTTATTACACTCTTAACTGTGGGGTTGGACTCATTGCTCATCTTTCTCTCTTATGTAATGATTCTGAAAACAGCGCTAAGCGTTGCTTCCCGTGCGGAGTGCCTGAGGGCCCTAAACACCTGTGTCTCCCACCTCTGTGCCGTCGTGCTCTTCTACACACCAGAACTTGGCCTGTCTCTGATGCACAGATTCGGGAAAGACTCCTCTCACTTGCTTCAGTTACTTCTGGGCTACATCTACCTGCTGGTCCCGCCCCTGATGAACCCGATCGTGTACAGCGTAAAAAGCAAACATCTTCGTGCGAGGATCATCAGAGTGTTTGTCAAGTGAAGGTTAGCTCATCACCTGGCTCCAGCTCTGGTGATATTAAAGACACAAAACATGGGCTGTGATCCCCTATTCCATATTGGACACTTCCATCTGAGACAACATGAACTACTGATCTCCACTCTGGAGAGGGAGGCTTCAACTGGGTCTAAGGCCAGGAGCAATGGGAGAGGGGCTGGTGACTGAGGAGAGTGCAGTGTTGGAAGGAGACCAAGGCAGGCAGCAACATTTTCAAAGGGGACTGTGATTGTCGGGAGCCAGGGGACGGGTTGGAATCTGGCCCATAAAGAGGCATATCAGTGGCTGCTCCGGCCTCACTTTTTCTCTTGATACAGTCAATAAAGAGAAGGGAGGTGGCTGTTGTTTCCCAGGACATTGGGCTTTCACTGTCCTGTCTCTAGTTAAATGTGCACAAGCCATGAAAAATCACGAAAGCTGCTCTGTAGTCACAGTCCTGACTCATCCTGAGTACCATGGCCTGCACCAGCGGGGGGCAGGGGCTATTCAAGGGGCACAGACACGTGAGTCATGCAGGAGCCCCAAGAGAAGCCCATCAGGCAGCCCCCTACACACTGCTGGCTCTGCGCACCTCACACCTGTTGAGACCACTTCCCACCGAGGCAGGGCAGAGCTGTGTTTGTCAGGGGACGTCTGACACTCAGAAGTTTGGGCAAGACCCTCCGGCCCAGGTTCCCTCCTCCCCGCGGTGTGTTTCCCTAGCTACTTGCAAAAGGGTGGAAATGGGCCTCAGCTCCCCCCACAAGGGCACGTCTAGCTCCTCTCCCAGCCCAGCTCATTCAGTGAAGGGCAACCCCCTTTGCCAAAGGGAAAAGCTGGACATATGCTGGAGCCTCATCCTGCCTTTGACCCCATCTATGGCCTTCATCTGCCCCAATGGCGCCTAACCCTTCTTCCCCCAAATCCCTGCCCCTTGGTTTGGTCAGACCCAGAGCCTGACTGTGGTAAGAGCTGTCCAGAGAGCCAGAGGCTCTGTGAGGAGCCCCAGATCTGAGAGCTGACTTGGTCAGTGGACTTGGGAGCTCCAGAGATGCCCTACTCTGTGTCATGGCTCCCCAGAATGCAACCCCCAGGGAAGGCAGGGGGTTGGTCGGCTCTTCCAGTGGCCAGGCTACAAACTGGCTGGAGAGGTGGAATGGCAGAGTAGAGGGTAGGGCTGAGTGGGAAGAGACTGGACAGAGTGGAAGAGTGGAAGAGATTGCCAATGTTCCCTCTTATTTTTTTCCATCTATGTGTGGAATAAATTTTGTTATGTGCACTAAGGCATGTGCAGATGAAACATGTGTGGCCGCCCAAGTGTTCATATTACAGGGAACATTGGCAGTGAATGTGGCAAACCTGATCTGCCTTGAGCCAAATGAGGAGATGTGAGGCTTCTTAGTAAAGGAGGAGGGTGGGGACAAAGGGTGGGAGAGCCTGTGTCTTAGAGAAGACTAAAAAAATCTACACCTCTTCCCCCCAAGAGGGCTTCTATTTTAAGTATTCTAAGCTAAGATTAAGGCCACTTTTATACTTACCACGCCGGTGATCCATCTTCTAGCGTTCCATTTAGTGGGTCTAATTAAGCTGTCTTGAGGTGAAATGGAAGCCAATGGCACCAAGCTCAGCTTAAGGTCCATTTAAATTTGATCCAGTTCCTGGAAACCCTTATCATACCAGAAAAATATGTGTTGGGGTTACTATGTACTAGAGAGTGAGAGCTCAGGAAAACAATATTTCATATATAGTCCCCAGTACCTGTTATCACACCAGACACAGACTACAGGCTGACGACAGAACCTGAGGTTGCTGAAGTTGCGTTCCTGAACCGACCTTCCACATCTAGTGTAGACCTCACCGAAGTCAGTAAAATGGTGTTCGTGAAACATTGAGGCTGCAGGTCTCTAATTGATGCATAATGAAACAAGAGGTGGGGGAAAGGTGAAGACTCACCTTAGGTGGTCGGGCTGGGAGAAAGCAGTCTGAGGGCAAAGGTCAGCATCACACTTTAGCCTGTAACATAGACACTGCTGAGCCCCTGACTCGCTCAGGTGAAGTACCTGAAGGAAAGATGCTGAGCTGCCCAGTTGGACCTGCTTGGTGATAAGTGTTCAGCATAGATGGAGTGTTGTTCCCAGCTTGAGGAGGAGGACAATTAGGAACATAAGACCATAAAACCTTCCATAGATGAAACATTGGTCTGATTCACTATCTCAATATCCTTTCTTGTGACAGCTGTCAATGCCGGTTGCTTAGGTGGGAATTAACAGAACACACAATTAACAACAAGTGATCAAGATAAGTGATTATTCCCCTTTATTTGGCTCTGGTGAGGCCACATCTGGAGGACTGTGTCCAGTTCTGGGACCCCCACTGTAGAAAGGATGTGGACGCATTGGAGAGGTCTAGTGGAGGGCCACCAAAATAATTAGGGGGGTGGAGCACATGACCTATGAGGAGACACTGAGGGATTTGGGTTTGTTTAGTCTGCAGAAGAGTGAGGGGGGATTTGATAGCAGCCTTCAACTTCCTGAAGGGAGGTTCCAAAGAGGATGGAGAAAGGCTGTTCACAGTAGTGACGGATGACAGAACAAGGAGCAATGGTCTCAAGTTACAGTGCGGGAGGTTTAGGTTGGATATTAGGAAAAACTGTTTCCCTAGGAGGGTGGGGAAGCACTGGAATGGGTTACCTAGGGAAGTAGTGGAATCTCCATCACTAGAGGTTTTAATGTCTCGGCTTGACAAAGCCCTGGCTGGTTTGATTTAGTTGGGATTGGTCCTGCCTTGGGCAGGGGGCTGGACCTAATGACCTCCTGAGGTCTCTTCCAGCTCTATGATTCTATGATTCTATGATCTCACAGGTAACGGCTTTGTTTGGCCAAGCGGGGAATAGAAAATTCTTCCAGTCACTGAACTGTCCATTGCCATGAGCATACATGTGTTAGTATAACTATAGACATTGATCCAGATTGCTATGCCGTACTTCACTAACAACATAGCTGGCCAAGTGCCTTTGCATCTTCATGGATCTTGCAGTCATTGGGGAGTTTGCTCAGGGTCTGTTGCACTAAGGGTACATCTAAACTACATGGCTCCGTTGATGGAGCCATGTAGATTTGTTTGTTCGGCAAAGGGAAATGAAGCTTCATTTAAATTTAAAGGGCTGCCCTGCTCTGCCGATCAGCTGTTTGTCGGCAGATCGGGGCAGTCTGGACACTCCTTTGTTGACATGAAAGCCCTTTATTGACCTCCCCGGTAAACCTCATCCTATGAAGCATAACGGGGAGGTCGATAAAGGGCTTTCAGGTCGGCGCGAGAGCGTCCAGACTAGTGTGCTGAGCTGACAAACAGCTGTTGTCAGCTGTTTGTAGGCTCAGCACAGCAGCCATTTAAATTTAAATGAAGCCACAATTATTTAAATCGCGGTTTCATTTCCCTCTGCCGATCAGCTTAATCTACATGGCTCCATGAATGGAGCCATGTAGTTTAGACACACCCTAATTGTCTGGTCAGCACTGGGACAGCACCCAGGGAGAACGCAGCTAACAGCCAAATATCGTCCAACTTCTGTCAACGTCACCCAGGTGTAACTACATTTCGCCGCTCAGACATACTCAGTATTCTTAACTTCACGTAAATAAATGATACATGCACACAAATTGCACTTTTATATTTCCCAAATCATAACTTTTCCAATGACACCTCACAAGACCCATTCTGTTCAAGATGCATTACCATTTTGTCATAATCATACATACTGAGGCCACTGTGATGAACATGGGGACAATGTTATGATGATCTCCTCAGCTGCCCTGATACTTGCATACTGCATATGAAAAATCAGGTTTTTGGGGAAGAGAAAAGATTTTCCTGTGTTTTGGGATCTTAAGAGATCTAGTGCAGTACAGAGGAACAGTCTGGATTGCCGGTGGTAACAGAGAGAGCCAGTTGTTGCTCAGGACTCCAGCCACTGGGGCTGGGGCAGCACTGAGCTCTTTCTGGAAAAGGAAGGGCATTTCTAGAAGTGGAGGAGGGTGGTACTGCAGGCAGAAAAAGGGGTAGGGAGGCAAACATCCCCAAAGTGGGACTCCACCTTCTGCCCATGTTGGGAACTTTTAGGCAATGGATAGATAATGAAAGAGAAAAAAACCCAATAACACCATGGTCACTCGATAATTGCCAAGGTTTGTGCATTCCCTCAGAAGTATCTGCACTGGCCACTGCCAGGAGGTAGGACGCTGGGCTAGATGGACCATTGGTCTGACCAGCAAGGCTGCTCTGATGTTTTCCCATTGTTCCTCTGATGGAGGGGCTGCTGCACACAGGCCTGTTCCAGAGACCACTATTGTCTGGGGTTGGCAGAGCCACTCTGCAGGGACAGCTCAGCATGGGAAGCTGATTAGCAGCTGCCACCGATGGGTGTGGTCCTGGAACACAAGGCCAGATGCTCATGGAATGAGCTGGGTTGGAATACAGAGACTACCCCCTTCCTCAATCCCTCCCCCCCACAATATTATAACTCCAAATAAATGTTTCCTTTTCTGCAGTTTTCTGGGGGTTCGTTTTCATGCCCAAGGGATCGCAAATAAATGTTTCCTTTTCTGCAGTTTTCTAGGGGTTCATCTTCATGCCCAAGGGATCATTTTTCTCTGAAAACTCAGCTGCCAACAGGCTCCTCAGTTGCTGCAGCCTGGACCCCTCCAACAGCAATGGAAGGCTGTTCATCTGCCTCTCCTTTGTAACGTCAATGAATGTCGCACTGGCAGAGTCTCTGGTTGCACTCTGGGTAGGGGAAGGTCCACACCTCCTGACCTGTCCCTGGCTGGGGTCCTCTGCCCATCTGCTACTCTAACCAGCCTCCCTATCACTCTGCGGCAACCTCTGCTCTGTGGAGCACCCCTTCAGCATATCCTGCAGGCAAAGGCGACTGTGAAAGGCCCTTGCTGTAGGGCCCAGGAGAGGGCCCTAGAGCAGTTGTGAAGGCTCAGATTGTGGGTGAGCCGGGT